TGAGAAAAAGGCAAAAGTTCATGGCCACAGCTGATAGAAAAAGCAATGAGAGAGAGAGAGAAAGAGAGAGAGAGAGAGAGAGAGAGAGAGAGAGAGAGAGAGAGAGAGCTCTTCTGTTCCTTACATTGTATCCTAGTCTACTTGGATTAGGATGGTGACTAAGCCAATTAGCATCACCCACCCCTAATCCCAGCACTCTTAATCCAAATATTGCACTACATTTCAATCACACACTGAAGATTCAGCCACTTCCAAAAATCCCTATGATTCCATGATTCTTTGAAGGGACATCTAGACACAAACCACAATGATATTCATGACAGATGCAAGACATCTGGGTCAGAAAGCATATTATTCACAGTAATATCAGTAGGCAGAATACCAGCATTTATATTAATTTCCTAATATTTAATTCACATTTGACTATAAAAGCAGGGGCAGGTGATACATACTCAGTGGGTTGTATTATAAAAGACGAATCCTGAATTTAGAGAACACAATTATCTTATAGTGGGAAGTGAGTACACTTGTCATTTGCTCTGAAGAGAGACCATTTCTACAGAATATTGGACAGTAAGAATGTATAATCTTATTCCAAAGGGCAAAACTGTCTCTCTTCCAACAGTATTTTCTATTCAGATATTCTAGATTACCACAATCATTGTACCAGTCTATACTCCCACCAACAGTGGAGAAGTGTTCTTTCTTCCCAAGGCTTACCAGCATTTATTATTCATTGATTTCTTGATAATAATCATTCTTTCTGGGGTGAGATGGAATCTTGGCATTATCCTAATTTGCATCTCTCAGATGACCAGTGATTTTCGAACAAATTTTCATGCATTTATTTTCCCTTTTTACTTCATCATCTGAGAAGTACCCATTTCAGATACTCAGTTTTTGACTGGATCTTTACATTTATGATTTTTGTTTCATCTCTTTATATATTCTAAATATTAGTACTATGAGGAAAGGTTGACAAAAGTTTTTCCCACTCCGTGAGTTATCTTTTCAATCTGTTGATGATATTTCTAGGTAAATGGATGCATGTTGAAGCAATAACCTCAAGTGAAATAAAATGAACACACATGTAAATATCACATTGTTTCTCTGGTATGAGAACCTGAAAGTGTAAAGGCCAAAATGTATAATAGACATTGTGAAGTACAAAGAAAATGTTCAAATGGTAATAAGATCTAGAGAAGGAGTGGAGGAAAGGTAGGGGAAAAAAAACAAGAAAAGAAGCAAAAAATGGAAACAAAGTTTTTGTAAATAAAGAAGGGAAGAGAGGTTGAAGGGAGATTAGGGGATTGGAGAAAAAAAAAGAAGACTCAAGATATATCATGTACAAGTACCAATTCCCTATGATGAATATGATTATTATGTGTATATAAAATGTACCAATAAACTTAATTAATTAAAAATATTCTTGAAAAGAAGGCCTAGAACAAAGGTAGTTTGCTCTAAGGATATGCAGAAATATAATAGAGCTACTGAGAACTATAATGTAACATTGGGTAGAGGAGTCAGAGTTGCAGCCAGATTTCCATGGCCCCATAAATAACACTCTTAATCAATGTGCTTCATGTTTCTCTACACAACTGCTTTCCCTTCTAATGGGTGATGTTCACAAACCGGTACTATATTAGTAGAAATGGGCAGTTAGGGAATATCACAGTCATGACAAATGTTCCTCAGTCACTACTCAATTATTCTGATAGCATTTATTATTCTATTTTTTCTACATTGTATGAATTCTAACATCTGAATGTTGCTCATTATTTGAGTCCCACTTGCTTTCTCTGGAGAGGATATGTCAGGAATGAATGAATTGGGATTCTGAATCAATCACTAATTTGTCATTTGATAATGATCAATCTCCCTTTTCCTCATCTGTTAAATGGAATTCATAATAGCTACTTTTCTAAGGTTGTCACAAGTAAATATAATTACGTATATCACACTCAACACAATGTGCATGATAGCCATTTTATGATAATAATTACTCTCTAAATGTGTGTTGAATGTTTAAAGAATTGTGTTTAAACTCAGACCTAGATTTTTTTGTTTTCTACCAGATTTTGAGGCTGTTTTCATATACTCCTTTTTCATTTTATTTAATTCTGTTTATGTTGATGTATCCTTTAATTTTCCCTGATAAGCTTGTTGCAGAGCTCAGGATTATCACTGCTTCTTAGTGCTGCTTAATCCCAGCCTTAGTTTAGTGCTCTGGTCACATGCCTGGGATGGACTGACCCTCTCATCTGTGGTCAGAGCAGGAGATAAATATGCATATTTAGTTTCTGCTTGATAACTGCATTTGACAGGGGGCACATTAATGCAAAATTCATCCTATGCTATTTAAGTAGCTCTCAAAGTGAGAAGGAGAGGAAGAGAAATAGACAGAATGACAGAGAGAGACAGAATCAGATATGCATAGAGATGTTTTCCTTTCAGTATCTACTGATAATAAACAGAGAATTCTTTTTATTATACTCTTCAAGTAGGGAAAACAAAACTGAGCACTTCTGAGTCCTTTCCTCTGTAAATGACACCCTTTTCATCCCTGTTACTCTCCTTGGCTTACCCTCTGGTCTATTCGTGTTATCATTAAACATAATGATCAGCACTGGCACTAGCCTTTACAAGAAATCAGGCTAAGCAGCACAAAACTGATCCCCTGCAGACTCAGAGCGCCCTGGGAAAGGACTGACAAATGATAACAGGCTATTAGAAAACATTTTATTTGGAGCAGAAAGTCTTTCTAGAACCCATAAAATCACTTTGTCTGAGGTTGAGCTAAGACTTCCATGCTGGAAGAGCCTCAGGTAAGAGTCTGAGTGGCATTGTTTTATTATTCTTTTAAAAATTTCTCTTCACAGTATAAATCAGGAAGCCTGGGGCCTTACCTGCTGTCCATTTCCACTGAAGTTAGAATTCAGATGTCTGAGTTTAAACTTTGTCCTTTGATCTGTGAGCTGAGCAATATTTATGCCATTGCTAAAATGTTCTAGGTCATAATTTCCTCATTGGTCAAATGAAAATCCTATGTGTGAAATTTGGCAGCTTCTTGTGACTACCAAATGTGACAACTAATTTTGTAAAGACACTGTAAAAATTACAATAAATCATAAAACAATAAAGACATTATTTTGAAAGTTCTTTTTACTTTGACTTTTGATTAGATGCAGATCTGAAAGTTTGGTGCTGTCACTTATCTTAAATGGTAATAATGTCCCATAATTTGGTGACTATCTCACTGTTAGTTATTCTTGCCATGGTGACTAATTCTAATAGGCTTTTCTAGTCTCTGTCTCAACACTTTGGCATCACTGGATACTCCTACTTACTCCCCTTTGTGACTCTTCTCTTCAGCATTCTATCATAATGATTTTTTGATTCCCAACTTTTCTATTCATTTTTTAATGTTGTGATTTCTCAGCCTCACTACTTACTCTGTCCTGTACAACCTCACCAATAGCTTAGGTTTCAAATAGCTTCCATTGACAAAGGGCTCCCAAATATGATTTACATATAATCTTTCAAATTGTAGACGTATCAAGCTGCTCTATGTCAACTCTTGGCCATCAAACTCAACATGCTTGAAGCCTGATGCACAAAACCTTATTTCAGGATCTTTTATGTTGCAGAGTATTAACTCTAGCCATCCGTGTAGGGGTATGAAATCATCTTTCATGCCTTTCTGTTAGTTTATCTAATTTAGTACTAAATTTTATTGGTTTTAATCCTCTCAAATCTTTGGGAACTGAGGGCAAATGATGATCTCCTTTTGCTTGAATAATGAAATGGGTTCGTATATAGTCTTTCCAGTAGTAGGGCCCCTTCCAACAAATCCAAAGCAGCTAGAGAATTCATTAAAGAAGCAAGAAAATTTTCATTATACTCATTGATTGAAATCATTGATAACTCTGACTTGGTCTTTATATTTTGACCTCATTCACCCATCAGTTTTTCACACAGTTTTTGTCTTTATCTTTTTCAGGAAGGATCAGTAGCTTTCCATTAGGTCCTAGAATAACATGCTCCCTCATTATACTGGACTCACTCTGTGCACTGTTCTTTTTAGCTCATCTTCTTTTTATACAATTCTCTCTCTCTCTCTCTCTCTCTCTCTCTCTCTCTCTCTCTCTCTCTCTCCCTCCCTCCCTCCCTCCCCCCCTCTCCCCTTCTCAACACACAAACACATGTAAACACATACACATACTTTTGTAATCCAGCTTCTTTGGTGCCAGTCTTTTAGTCCCAAGCACAAATATTTTTTTTTTTTCCGGAAAATTTTTCTTTCCTCTTTGAATAAATCAGAACCCCATGAAGTTTCTTTTTCTATTTTTAGTAGCACTTATCACAGCTTGTAAGTATCAGATAACATGATTTATTTGTTTAATCTCTACCAAAAGTCAAAGCTCCAGATGAATGTTCTGATTCATTATTACTTACTAAGTGCAGAGTAAAGAATAGGTACTTAGATACTCGTTCAACGTGATGAATTCTTCAGTTCACAGACAATGAAGCTTAGATTAACAGTCTCAGTTACTTCTCTAGGGTTGCATCACTAGTCAAATGGTAGAAGAAAGTGTTTCTATTCCAAAGTCCTTTCTCATTCACCGCAGTGCCTTCTGTGAAGCAGATAAATCATTGAGATACTGATATCAATGTTATTTTTCATTTTAGGTCAGTTAGAGACTCGTATGTGTCACAGTTTGAATAGACAATTTCAAAGACTTACTGAGAGAAATTTCCTTCTTAAGAAGGAAAATTCAAAGAAGCAAAGCTTTGGTCAGAAACCTGTGACCTTTCGTTGGGTCTGTCAAAGCTTTTGTTGTAAGTAAGATAAATGAACTCTGATTAAAGCATAAAAGGCATTTACTTGAAAGAGAACAATTTTCTCTTAGAAGAAATGGAAAGGCTGGAGCAAGAAGCTGAGGGGGAGATGGGTAGCAGCCAAGGTTGCACTCTGAGAAACCTCTGGTTACCACTAGGAACATTGCCGGTGTCACCACTCCAGACTGTGTCCTGAACGTGGCCTCAACTGGACAGTTCTGCCATGCACGACACATTTCCTCCTTTGAAGAATTCCAGATTGGTCCTGTAGGGTGTCACTCAACGTTTATAGGCCCAGGTAAAGACTTTTAATTGACTTTATCTGGTTTAGATGTTAGTGTCTTGGATTCCAGGAAGAACGAGACCCTCAGTCTCTTACCAAGATCCACACAACTGAGGAATCCATTTGTAGAGAGGTAAGTAGATTAAGTGCTGATAACCAAGTATAAGAAAAACAAAAACAAAATGCACATTTGCTGAAAGAAGGCAGGGAATTATCAGGATCAAATCAGGTTAGATTCACATATGACTAGTTTGGACCCAGGGAGCCTGGCAAACAGAATCTTTTGGAAAACCAGAATTCAAATGCAGCTAAGAATGGCAAGATTACATGAAGGAGTGAGATCATGCTTTCATGCTAACCAGGAACTCGTAACTTTCACAAGGGCTGAGTGTGATTGTGTCTCATGTGCAGTAATAATGCAAGCAAATCAAGGTTCCTCTGTTCAGTTACACTGGCAGCCAAACGTAATCAACCACCACATGCACTGATTGGGAAGGAGTCCGGGGCTGCCCTAACTCAAGGCGCCAAGGCAATCATTCTGAATGTACCCAACTTGGCATGTGGGATCCAGGGTTTATGCCTATGTACCAATATTAATTATATTCTAAAGCATCGTGTGTACTCTTCAGCCTTAAAAAGAAAACAAATGCTCATTTTGTTTTGTCCTTCAGATATTACTGTGTTCAGATATACTTTGGTTTGCGGATTCATTGGAATTATTTTTTTTTTAATTTGATGTGAGCTTTTTATTCAGTGCTTTATATCTGTGTCTCTCCTATTTTATTTCCTTCCAGGAAAAGGATCAAAATTCTATACTTTCTGTAAAAGGATACTTCCCAAGATGACTGTAGTGAACGTACAAAGGTGCAGGACAAGTATTAGATTTTGTGAAGCAGCTTCGTAAGCATGTTTCCTCAACAGAAGAGAGAAGTCCCACTCTTTATGCGGACATACAAGAGATAACCACAGAATCTGTCTTGGAGTGAAGAAGACAAAATATTTACCAGCTCTCATGTCATGAATTTTGATTGGGTTTTAGTCATGGTTGTGATCCCAAGTATGGTGAAAATTAACAAAGAAAAATAGAAACACTTGAACAATGCATACATAAAAACAATGCATACATGTTTCATTAAACTAAACTAAAAAGATTATATTTTTCCATAAAGGTCCTGGGGAATAAATTGTGTACTTTATGTGGAAGAGGATTGAGAAGGTGGTATCTTCAGTAAGCCTCTCTTATCAGAACTGTGAAATTCATCAACTTGTCTCCTTACCACATTAAGTTCATAGAGAATTTGGATAAAGATTTTCTGAACCATATTGAACATGAAGTTGTGATCTTTGATTCTGGGTTAGTCATTGGTTTCTCTCTGGGTCCTTGGGAAAGCCTCGTGCCCTTTTAGATTTCTGTAGCTGCCTACGTGACCAGCTTTTAATGGTTCTCTCTAGTTCTAAACATATCCATGGGCCTGTGCATATAGAGTGTGGGAAACATTGGAGAAGGCTTAGGATGGACATTCCTAACCATGGAAGAAATGCTAACAAGGGGCTTCTGGTTTTATCTTCATCAAGCAACAAAAATTTTCTAAAGCAGGCTTTTTTCCTGTAGAATGGAATTTTCACTTTCTAGGTGACTTCTAATAGAGAAGACAATGATTCCCATCCTCTTGTCTCTTCTTGGCTCACGAGACCACATTATCATCATTTTTAAAGATGCCAAACGGTCACCTTTTCAATCTAGTCTATAAGTTTGCTGGTCTTCTTTCTCCCTTCCTCCTTGACTCCCTGATTCTGCTTTCCTCCCTCTCTCCCTCCCTCTTTTTTTCCTTCCTTCCTTCTTTCCTTCCTTCCTTCCTTCCTTCCTTCCTTCCTTCCTTCCTTCCTTCCTTCTTTCCTTTTTCTCCACATCGCTTTGTGAATTATATATTTCTGTACTTCAGAATGTGTCCTAAATTACTTCCTGCAACTTGTATATGCCCTATTTTCCTAAAGTCCCTTGCTCTCACGATACTCAGAGTCTATATTATGAAACTGGAAGAATCCTGACCTGTAATTCATTACCACTTGCCCTTAGCCTCCACTGTGATCATATTTTTCTCTCCAACTTCTGTACATCCTCCAATGAATGTGTAATTTATTTCGCATGGTTTAGAGGGAAAGCAATGATGTTTAGAGTGAGCCTCCTAGGTTCAGGGTCTTTTGCCGATACAGCTTGGTGATCTTGAACAAATCACTTCATCTTTATCACCACTTTTATTAGGTCTTAGATTTATTTGTTCTCATAATTGATTTTAATTAATTTTTATAGTATTCCTAATTCTGAGACAATTTATATTATATTTTAACAAACATACTTTAAACAACTAAGTGATTTTTCACTATTTTAATAGTTACCGCTTTTTCTTTTATGTCTTTCCAGCCATTGTTGAGCTCTTTATTTTAACTCTTTTGTGAATTTTGGAGAAAATATTAGACCAGTTATGCAAGACAAAAAATTTGGATGAAATAATTTGAGTATTTGACTGTTTCATAGATTCTTTGTGAGGTATGCATGCAGAAATGGGATTTTGGCGTACATGTGGCCTTCATTCTTAAACTGTGTGGTGCTACAAAGCCTTATATATGCTCTTGCATTTAATTCTCATGATTAGTAGTGGAGAGGAGGATTCACAGCCAACTTAAGCATCTGTTTTTGTAAGCAGTCTTGTTTACTTTTTCTGGATTTGTGTTGGATTCATCTTTTACTGATTCAATTTAAAAACTATCACTGGCCTTGTTTGAGCTTGCTTGGAACATGACAAATATTTTCAATTTAAGCCTCCACTCTTGCTTAAATTCAGAATACTTTTTATATTTCTATACCAATTCCTTTTGTTCTATCAGTTCTGCTTCTTATTATAGGAAAAACTATCATGTGCATATGGTGCTTCTTGAATATGAATATGTTTTATTATCTTCTCTTATAGTCACTTCATTTCTAAAATTTTGCTCTCTGTATAAGAAATTATGTTTCTGGCATTCATTTGATTTTTTTATTTGTTGTGATTTTTAAAAATTCTGATAGTTATTCTAAAATTGGCATACTCATGCTCTAGAGAAAATATAATACATTGAATAAAAATTAGGAATTTTTTTTATCTAGAGCAGTAAATAATATTGAAATAAAAATATCTTGAATGTCTTCAGATCATCAGAAATTTTTCACTTATGAATCATAGAAATACCTTAAAATGTCCTGTTAGTTTTGTTCTTTTTTTAATGTCTCCATATTCAAAGATCTATAACATTCTAAAGTTGGTTTATGCACATGGTCAAATCAGAAAGTGACAGTTTGTGAGTTTTTTCTAAATTTTTATAAGAGGGTATGCTTCTAATGCCAGTCTTTTCAAAGAGCAAGTGAATTAAATAACAAAACACATAAGGTCATACTTTGTTAGCTGTCAAATACTCTAGATGTTAAACAGAAGAGACCTGACTTAGCTATTTTTCACACCATATGGTGATTAACTGCCATTGTAAAATGTGTTCCTCCATGCTTTACTTGATGGTAATTTTAAAATATAAAAGTTCACCTCAGAAGCAAATGTCAGCATTTCTTCCACAGTACTGGTGATGTCTCATTGTGTCTGTCCTCAAGAGGCAGCAGTCAATGGCACCATATTCCTGGGAGGAATGCCTCTCCACCTTCCATGTTGTTTCCATCCACATCGGTAATTTTACTTTTCCAGTTCAGAGTATAGATGAAGGACATTCTGGTTTCCATTAATCATTCTTCATTCTTTCTTATTGGTGGTACTATGCAATTCCAGACGTGTCAACCATCTGTCCTCCATTCATTTTTCTACTACTTTCTTACTTATCAAGAAATTTTCACATGATTCTGGTATGTATCCAAATGCTATCCTTCATTCTATTATACCTGATAATATATTTGTTTTGTGTTCATATGTTTTATTGGTTATTTTGGCAATAATTCATGGGCATGGAGGAGAGCTAGGTAGGCACCTGCTCCCTACAGCTACTTTCCAAGAAGTCTTACTTAATCCATCTACCACAGATAAGCAATGACTTCATCATAGATATGAGGATCTCACAGAAGAACTGTGAGCAGACAGGCAGAGGAGGACAAGATTTAGTTGAAGGATGTCCTAAAAATCCTTTAGACAGGAGGACACATAGGAGGTCCCCACAGGCCTAACCGGACCACTCCCAGCGAACTTCAAGTGGCAGGCAGGGGACTGAACTCAGTCCCAGGAGACAAACATGCTTGAATTGAATCCCAGTGCATGGGGGAAGCTTTGGAACATTGCTCCAGCCAGTAAGATCATGCCCAGCATCCCAAATCACCGGAGGACACGCAGGAGTTCCCCATGGACCTAACAGGACCATGTTCAGCAACCTCCAAGTGACTAGGAATAGCCTGAAGTCTTCCCCAGGAGCCAAAATGGTGTCATTACTCCCAGAACACAGGGGAAGTTTTGCAACATCGCTCAAAACTGGAAATTTAGGAAAATGATAAAATGAAAGAGCAAAATTCAATCTTAAACTTCCAGCCAAACCCAATCAAGCTTAGGAGACACAGACACAGGAGAAAATGTAAGCCATGACCCTAAAATTCCTGAAATGATAACAACTGAAGAAAATAAACAACTCTGGGAAGCTATAAAAAAACTCAGATCAGAAATAATCTCCCAGGTAAAAGAAGAAATGATAAATGCAATGAAAGAGATGATAAACACATCTAAAGAAGATATAGTTAAAAAAATTAGAGGAATAATGCAAAAAGATGGAAACCCTGAATGAACAATATAAGAAACAGAATGCATGAAGCAGGTTCAAAGAAACTTACAGGAAATCAAAACTTTCATCACAAGTTGGCAAAACCACCTCAAAGAAAGCAAAGATAGAATTTCAGACCTTGAAAATAGGATTGCAGCTAGTGAAGAGAAAAGGAAAGATCTTTTAAAAATAACAAGGAACCAGGGAATAACAATTCAACAGTTGCAAGATGATGCAAAGAAAAACAACATAAGATTGATAAGTATAAATGAAAAAGAAGATGACAACATAAATGGTATCATGAGGCTATTTGTAGAAGTAATAGCTGAAAATTTCCCAAACATGAGAATGGAAACTGACACAAAGATCCATGAAGCATATAGAACTCCAAATAACCTTAGCCAAAATAAAACTACATTCAGACATATATTAACATCCCAGAAATCCAAACTAAGAACAGAATATTAAAAGCTGTTAGAGAGAAGAGACAAATCACTATAAAGGCAAGCCCATCAGAATCACAACAGACTTCTCAGAACAAACAATGAAGTCAAGAAGCACATGGAGTGAAGTATTTCAGTTCTTAATGGAAAATGAATTGCACCCAGACTGATGTACCCTGAAAAACTGTCCTTCAAAATGAATGGTGAAATAAGTTACTTACATGACAAAGAACAACTGAAGAACTTCATGATCACGAAACCAACCCTGCAAAGAACACTGAAAAAAATTCTAGATAGATATAGGGAAAAATCACTAAGCAAAGCAAACAATTAAACAGAATGGAAACTTAAAGAATCAACAGCAGAAAGATAACATGTCAAAAGTAAACCAATGTATATCAGTTATAACCATTAATGTAAATGGCCTCAATTCACCAATTAGAAGAAACAGACTGACAGAATGGATCAAGAAACAATATCCAACCACATGCTGTATATAAGAAATCTATCTAACCCAAAATGAAACTCATAGACTAAAAGTCAAAGGCTAGAAAATAATACTCCAAGCAACAGGATCCCCCCATGAAGCAGGAGTAGCTATTCTGTTTGCAGACAATGTGAACTTCAAATCAAGAATGATCCAAAGAGATAAGGAAGGTCACTAGTTAGGGGAAAACTTCAAGAGGAAGAGATAACAATCTTAAATATATATGCACCAAATTTGTCAGCACCCAGCTCTTAAATATAATATATAATATTTGTTTACAAAACAAATATTAACAGAAATGAAAAATCAAATAAGCAATAACACAATTATAACAGGATACTTTAACACACATTGACACAAAGGGACAGAAAGTTAGCAAAGAAATAACAGAACTGAATCACACCTGTGAACAAATGGACTTGGTAGATGTATACAGAATGTTCCACCCAAGAACATCAGAACATGCATTCTTCTCATCAGCACATGGAATGGCCTCTAAGATAGACCATATAATAGCCCACAGAACTTGCTTAAGAAAATGCAAAAGAAATTAT